CTAAAACCGGAAAGTTTCAGAGCGCGCCTGAAGTAAATACTGGCTGGACGGCATCTATAATCCATGGATTTCTACTTTTTGTGGTTGTTAGCCTGTGTAAAATTGAATAAAAAGAGCAAAAGTAGTGATTAAAATGTGAAAATTCAGTTAGTTCTTGACAGATGTCATCCACATCTCAAGTGTGTATCAAGTCGACGTTTAGAAGATTCAGACGAAGTAGCCTGGACCACTTTTGCAAGAAGAGCATCCTAGAGTCTCACAACTCTTAGGCAATAAAAGTTGTGTCTGACACTTACTCTACTTTGTTCTGGGCTTAGTTTCTACGTGTCCTCTAGGATTTGCGCTACATCTAAGATTCAATTAGTGACGGAGTGGGTGTCCAAGGCTATTCAAAGGGTTGTGAGCTCTTATCAAGTCTCCAGTTAGTCTTCTGTATTACAAGGGGTATAGTTCAAGCGCAACTAGTCGCTCTTCATATATTTTAGTCTCGAGTCCTCGAACAGATTTGGTCGAGCGCCTTTAAAAGTGTTCTAAGCTTAATTTTTTCTTCTGCAAAGAAGGAGGAAGATGAGGTTAATGTTTTCTCTTAAAGCTAGCTACAGTTCATAATGATCCTTTTAGGATAATGTATTGCATCATAATTTTTGTTAGCTAAAGGATTTGAATTTTTAAAAGTGCTTTTCAAGAACACAAGATCCTCGAGATGTACTAACAATAGTCAGCACTGACTGAATAGAACCGGCGCTAAACTCTGCATTGAAAATAAGGTCGACATGAAATTCAACCCTTGGTTATTTTCTCCAATACATTAGCTTCATTTAACACTGTCTCAAGACGAAATCACCTTATACAGCTTAATTTTCAACTTACGAAGTTTTGTAATGCAGTATTTTAGAACAAAAATGACTAGTTTACTTTTGACTTATTCAGGGAAACATCTTTTATGTATGAAAATTTGATTTGGTATGTCTTTCGGATGTAAAGAGTGGAATCAAAAACCATCCCATTTTGGCATGATCTGTTAGAAGCAATTGCGTTATTTGCTAGTTTTTAGTACCCGTATTATACACAAAACAGTGCGATATTCGCTTACATCAAACTTTTTTGGGTAGGACATTAGAAGCGCTTCAGAGAATAGTGAGTTACACCCATTGCGATCTATGATAGTTAGCAGTTAGAATCAGGGAAATTGACTATTGGTTTTCAATAGACTAGGAAACTGGCTTTTGAATGAATCTGTATTATTATTATTTGTCCCTTAGGTTCCTATTGGAACACAGGGTTTCCGTAACACGTCGCCATTTCATTCTCTTCTCTGCGGTCTTTTTAATCTGGCTCTACGGCTGTCCATAAGGTTTCATTTCTTCTTCATACCATCTCCTCCATGTCACCCTCGCCTCGGAAGCCCAACTCGTCGTTTCTCATGCGGGTTCTGCTCGACGTCTTGACCTTGCCTGGCCTTATGCGTGATGTCCCCAAACCGTCTTCTCAGTGTATGTTCGAACCAATCCATCTCCACTTTCTTTTTCTGCATATTTGTTAGACGATGGGTTCTTGGTTGGTTCGTTGCCAGGCCAGAGTTCCTCGTTACATATTCTTTCTGGCCTTCCGATCTGATCTTCAGTATGGAGTGAGTGTAGGCGGCAGTCGTTGATGTTATGTGTATCTGCAGTTTGTTGGGAATGCTTTTCGTAAGGTGCCAAGTGTCTCAACCATCACATAGAAGCACTGACTTACATGACTGATATTCGTGTTGGAAATCCGGATCTTCTTTATGTTGCAGGAAATCTCCACAGATTAATGGTCTGCCTTGCTGTCTTTCTGATCCTGTCTTTCTCGTTCTCATGTGTGCCTGTGCCGCCTGTAGTTGAAACGTTGCTGTCTAGTTTGTTAGGTAGGCAGGTGAAAGAGACAACTTTCTTTAAGGATTCTGCCGTTCATGATGATTGGTACTTGTTGTTTGTTGGGTATCTTCATCACCTATGTCTTCTCTACGTTTACCTGAAGGAATTGACGTCTTCGCTGCCTTGCATCTTGTGTCAACTTGTTAGTTTCTGCCTGTAGATCTTCGAGTTTGTGCGATATAAGACACTAGACACAAATGATGATGAGCGAAATGCAAATGTTGTAGGGTCTTTTCATTGGTCAAACAGCGTATGCCCATCTTTTCGCTCCTCACAGTTTGTGTATGAATTTATATGATAGGCAATATCTAGACTTAAGTTTATAAAAATACTTGCTCTATTTCTTTATATTCCATTGTTAATTATCAAGTGCTGTAACACAGTTTACTACCACATAGAAACGCTTTGATTCAGTGTTCATTTCATGAGCTAATGAGAAACAAATTTTGTTTAACCCAATAGTATATGTATATATATATATATCCCCGAAAAGTAAAACACTCATTTTAAAACTTTGTGCCCGATATACATCCTAGTGACATTGACACTAACCCAGTAGAGAACAACTAAGGAATTTCGAAGACTATTTAGGAGGTATAAAGAGTTATTTACGCTCACTTCAATTGTATTCATATCGATACTATTTCAGTCAGTAAGTTTAGTCACACTTTTCCGGACACTAAAGAAAATGAGTTCAGAAAAGATTTGTGGATTGGTCTACTTATCTGATTATCCCAGTCTATAAAAAAGCAGATGTGTCTTCTCGTAAAACCATGGGAGAATTAGCTTGACTACCATGTTATCCAAGACCCTAGGGTTCATAGTAATACTACGCCTGACTGGGGCTTGAGAATAGCAAACTCGTAAACGCCAAACAGGTTTCAGACTTGTGCGATGGTGCAACCACTAGATCTTCACTCTTCAACAGGTCTTGAAACATAGGAATAGTCACTGGCAGGCAACAATTTCCCCGTTCTTTGTGTGGATCAATGAATTATTGGTCTAGGCACTTGGTTTCCCATGGATTTCGAATCCAGTCACACCTATCGAGGCTTAAACGGCCAAGTAGTAGCATCGGTCTTTAGACGATAGGGCTTATTGTCCACTGCCTGAATTCGCACAAGGTTTCTAAATGGAGTTCATTTGGATGTTTCTTGACTTGAAGGTGGCACTCAACCCTGTTGACCGAGAGGTTTTGTGGCAGTGTCTGACTTTAAGGCCATGGTGAGTAGGTGTGTGATACTAACACAGGCTCTCCCCTTTAAACCATGCAGCCGTGGAAAGACTAATTGAGAAGTGTCATCTAAGCTGACGATAGATTATCATCCTTTGGGGATGCCTGATGTCAACATTCCTGTTTAACTTCGATTTAGTTGTAATAATAGGCATGATGGTAGGTGCCTTTGAATTCATATAGGTCTATCTACTCAATGGGGATCATGTGATTGATTTGGAGTACACAAACGACATTGTCCTGTTAGGAGAAAACGCTAGCAAAATATTGGGTCTTCTGAACACGAGCGAAAATTCATGTGTTCACAATGTGTTTCTCACCTGTGAAATGTGTGGTGATGCTTCAGGACTACTATGCAACTACTTCCATTTTGAGGATAGTGAGTGAAGTGGTGAAACGCATTAATTACTTCACTTACTCCGGGAGTTACATTAAACCAAACCGGTTGGTTTTCGACGAAATTTCAGCTTGGATACAGAGGACCCGTTTGGCGTTTCTCATCTTGCGTATGTAGTATCAACTGTCGAGATATCCATTTACCTATTAAAAGACAAGTATATTGCGCTGAAGTTCGCTCTTTCCTGTTATACACCCAAAACATGGTCGTTGGAAGTAGAAGATATGAAGTGGCTATAAATCTTTCATCACACTCATCTTCGTAACACAGTTCGCGTAAAGGTCAGATGAAGGATACTAGGCAAGAATGGGAAGTCGGTGCGACAGATTATGAACATTCACCAACTGAGGTGGTTTAGACTCTTGTTGCGCATACCTAGTCATCACCTACCTCGATGTGACATGGCACCTCGAGGTAGGTGATGACTAGGTATGTAGAAGTCAGATGTAGTCAGGTGTAAACTTTTAGGGAGAAAAGGTAAGTCAGTTGACGAGGTTATCAACCTTCATGGACTGAGATGGATGGCAGGGACATTTGTTACCTATGCCTAGTCGTCGATTGCCTCGTCACACAATATTGGCCGAAATAGGTTCAGGCTGGAAAAAGGCCGGAGGTGGCAAGACTAAAACATGGCATCAGTGTATGAGGTCTCTTACTGTTGGTTTGAGACATGTGGGGCGATACAGACTAGTCAGTTGGTGTGTGCGGGACAAGAGAAACCAGTGGTTAGAGACTGACTCTAGGTGATCACATGGCTGAGAACCGATGTCAATGGTGCAGATGTATCCCCACACACATTATCCTCATCTTAACAACGCTGTACTAAATCTCACCATTTTCTCATTCTTCGTTTCTCTCTTTTCGTAGTTTATATTTCTTTTGACTGAGTTTTCTTTTCTTCATCTTCGACTTCACTGCCTTTTTACTTTACGCGGTAATATGAGGTATGGCGGCAACTCGAACTGTTACGTCCCATGCTAGGAGAAGTTGGATTAGGTTAGAAGAAGGCTCAAGGTGGTTAGATTAAGGTGTGACACCATTACCTGAATTATCCAGCTGCTCATCTCAGTCGTGTTCGGAGGTGTACACTATTTGACTAGGGTCTTTGATATGGTTTGAATTCTGTTTGTGATATAGCTGAGAATGAATCACAATGAATGAAGATGTATTTATTCATTGATGTCTTGTGAAACTTGACAATTTCCACTTACCTTAATTTTCAAATTCCTTTTCGTATTATACATATTTATCCACTTTTGTGTAAATCTTTTTCTCTCCGCTTGTTCTTTGAATGCTGTTATGAACTGTAATAAGTTGATTGGATGGATTTCTACTTAAGGTTTCACTTTAGTTTTATCTATCTGTAGTAGCTTAATTGGGTTGTTACACATTTATTGTGTTATGTTATTTTGGTGAATTTCAATATAATCTACTTAAACTCCTCTACTTTACTTACTTCTTCAAGCTTTTTTGTAGTACTCGAATTAAGTAGAAAATGCAGATATTCTCTCAACAAACTTTTACACTTCACTTTATTACAATATGAAAAGAGCGTACAATGAATGTAAACAATCGGTTCTAGAATATTTACCGAAATGTGGAACGTCTGTTAACTTATATTGTCCAGAGGAAATGTCAATAAGTCAGTTAGTTGAAATCTTTGAACGTCGTGGATTTCAATCTTTGGTAAGTTTGTATGTGAAACAAGTTTTTTTTAGAATTTCAATTTTTGTTTTTATATCAGAATTTGTTAAAGCATGTATCGAATTATTAGGTGAGTTGTTTCTGTTAGGGCTACTCATTGCCCCAGGTTCTGGAACCACAGACACGCTTACCGACACCCGACAGCTGTATTTCTCGACCTGAAAGCGGCATTCGACTCCGTTGATCGAGAAGTCTTATGGCGATGTCTCTCATTGAAAGGCGTACAGAGTAATTACATTGCCTTATTGAAAGCTCTCTACTCGAACACTTGTGGGCGTGTTAGAGCCTATGGTGAGTTGTCTAGGGAGCCATGTTCATCGACAATATCCTTCTTCTAAGGCTGTACAGTCGTATTTATGTACAAATCATAAACATATAACAATCTATCATCAAACTATAATGTATAATTGCATCATTAGACTATCCAGTACTAAAACAAACCGAAATCAAGAATGTAAAGCAGTTGTGTAATAACCTTTTAGACAGCAGAAATAACGAGGAAAGCAAGGAGTTTGACAAGATGAAAATTGTTTATGCATGAGAAATGTGATGATTGAGTATGTCCACTTGATAAATAGATAGATAGATGGATGTAAAGAAGGTGAAGAATGAGACATGGGTCATAATGAAGGTGATAACAATAAGCTAACTAATCATAATGAAATCAAAAAATCAGCTGTGAAAGTGTGAAGACTATGCATTGTAAGATAAGAGATTAAACATACTTCTGTTGTACACAGAGATCAAGCTTGAACTAGTAAATTACCTGTATACTTCTGCAATATTGCACAACTACTGAAAGTGTACTCTTTTTCAACTATTCCATTCAACTTGATAAGTGACACTGAAAAAGGACTCAGATGTCCAGAGTTGACGAAATATTCATGAATCGAACAGCCATTGATAGCTATACACGATAATGTTCACAGATATATTTGAAAATGAATGCTTTGTGCGTTAAGGACAAGTTACCGGTTTACATCATCTCATTGTTTGTCTAAACATTTTACTTACTTCTATGGAGAAGGCTGTACGCAAAGGTGAACAAGATTACTAAGTAGATTATTCCACTGTAATCATAATTATTCATTAATATATATATATATATATATATATATATATATATATATATATATATATATATATATATATATATATTTCAAGTTGTTATTCATCGAAGACTGACATCAGTTGGAGGAACAAAGGAAACCTGGGAGCACTGGACAGCTGTTTCGTCCTAGTATGGGACTCCTCAGCAGTGCGCACCCACGACCCTGTACCACCAGGGATCGAACCGCGACCTTCAGGTTCCGCGACCAGCGCGTTCCTCCAACTGATGTCAGTCTTCGATGAATAACAACTTGAAATAATTCCAAATCTCCACAACCCCTCAAAATATATATATATATATATATATAAATTTATCTATTTGTTGTATAGATATCAGACAAGGATACATTAGAACACCTTGTCAATTTGTATTATGATTATATTATACCAAAATCTATTAGAAAAGAAACAATTTATCCATTGAATGAAACAGATTATATCAATAATAATTCATTATACAAAAATATTAACCATGGAAACAATAAAAATATTCATAATAGTGTAGATAAGTTAGACAAACTAGACATAATAGAAGAATCCAGTTCAAAGATAGTCAATCATTCACATTTACAAGAATATACAGAACAAACAATCAAACATATACATATTGATAAAATGAAAAATAATAATTTACAAATAGAAGATAAGCATAAACCTTCAACAAGAAAACGTCAAAAAATAAATCGTGATTTTAAAAGACTTATTGAATAATTTCATTATGAAAACTTGATCAATGTAGATATGTACATAGTATTGTATTGTTATATAATGAACGCTTTTAGTATATACTCTCTCTCTCTCTGCCTACTTCTTTTCTATTACATATTTATATGCTTGTTTTCATTGAAGGTTTTCTTTCTTTCTTAGTTATCTGAAAGTATCTAATAGGAATAGATATGTATAATTGAATTCAGTAGCACGTCTCGCATCTGAGTTCCATTCCAGACCCTGGCTTGGCGCATGATGTCCTCAAATGGTCTTCTCAGTGTATGCCCAATCCATCTACACTTCCTTCCAGTGCATATTTGTTGAGCCATAGGTTCTTGCTTCGTTGGTTCGTTCCCAGAGTTCCTTATTGCTTATTCTTTCTGACCATCTGAGTTTAAGTAACGAGCCAGCGTAGGTGGCAGTTGTTGATGAATGTCTGTAGTTTGTTGGAAATGCCTTTGGTAATGCGCCAAGTCTCTGAACCATCACATAGAAGCATTGACTTGAGATTGGTGTTGAAAAGCTGGATGTTGTTGACGCTTTATGCTGAGTGCAGCAGATCTCTACACTGGTTTAAGGTTAATGAACGCCTGTCTTGCTTTTCCGATCCTCCCTGGCTTTGATGCCCGTGTTTGTGATGCCTGTAGTTGAGGTGATGCTGCCTAGATAGATGAAAGAGGCTACTTCCTTTAAGTTTCCCCGTTGATGGTGATTAGAGCTTGTTGTTGTTGTTAGTTGGGTATCATCATCACCTCTGTCTTCTCTACGTTCACTTGAAGTCCCGTCTTCGCTGCCTCTTCTGTCAACTTGTTAGTTTTCGCCTGTAGATCTTTAAGTTTGTGTGACATTGGACACAAGTCATCACTGGTGAAATCCAAACCTTCTAGGATCTTTGCTTCGGTCCAGCGTATGCCCATCTTATCGTTCCTCACAGTTTGCTGTAAGACCCAGTCGACCACAATCAGGAAGATCATGGGGGATAGTAGACAGCCTTGTTTTACTCCTGTCTTCACTTCGAAGGCGTCACTGAGCTTCCCATTGTGGATCACTTGGCATGTGGTGTCTTCATATCGTTGTTGAATGAGGTTGATAAAGGTTTGTGTGTTAGGTATGCTGAATAGTTATGGTGTATGGAAAATTATTTGTACGAAAGGTTACGAGATTTTTCATTTCAAGCTTTACTCGTATATATAAACCGTCTAATATGTATAATGTCATAAGCGTTATAAAATGATAATGGTGATAATAATAATAATGATAAGGTTTGCGGTTACGGCGATGGTGTTGACCAAAACAGAGCAGTTATAAACCAGACGATGATAGTGAGAACCAGAAAAACAGTATGAAAATGTCTACTCATGGATATGATAATAACAATAGTAATTAATGGTAGTGATAATAATGGGATTGATAATAACTCCGCTTGTGATTGAGGTGAAATACAAATGTGGTCAGCAGTAGAACCTCACAGCTCACTTGGTAGAGCATCGGACCGGAAACCAGGTGGTCATTGGTTCGAATCCGACCACGGTCCAAATTTCCATTTCACCTTCAATCATCGCCTAGTATAAATACTAGTCTGCCAAACCATGGCTGCCATCTCAGATAGTCAAATGATAAAACGAATAATACAGACTTTTCCAGTCATAGTGGATAAGTGTTGTAAAATGACCATGGGAATGATGATGACAACGCTAATAATAATAGTAATAATCATAATGATAATAATAACAATAATAATGATGGTAATGGTAGTGATAATTGCGGTGATAAAAACAATAATAATAATGAAGATAATAATGATAATTGACATGTTGACTATCTGAGATATTACCCGTGGTTTGGCTGACTAGTATTTATACTGGGTGATAATTGAAGGTGAAATAAAAATTTAGACCGCTGCCAGATTCGAACCGGCGACACACAGATTCCTCGTAGCTCAATTGGTACAGTATCGGGCGAGAAACCGGGTGGCCGCTGGTTCGAATCTGGCCGCGATCCAAATTCCCCCTTCATGCAGTATCAATAATAGTTATGAGGATAATAAAGACAGCGATAATAATACTAATAGTAATATTGATAAAGATGACAATAGCGATGATAGTAATGGTAATTATGATAGTAAGGATAGTAAAAATAATGTTGATAATAATAATAATAATAACGTTAGGAGTCATAACGATAGCAGTTGTAACACACACGATGGTGACGATGATAAAAACCAAGAAAACAGTATGAAAATGTCGGCTTGTGGATAATGAAAATTGGTCAAAAGGTGACTGATGAAAATAAAGGTTGTGTAATACTCGATGACAAAGTAATAAGCGATGAGTAAACACAGTCTAAAGAAATGTGTCTACACAAAATGACCTCCTTCATCAAATAATCCTGTAGAACTGAAAGATTTACAAATCAAATCGCCGATTGCTGTTCCTGCCATCTACCATAGTTATAAAGTTGATATTGAAAATATTTGAAAGGTATTCAGAAAGGTTTTTCAAACTACAAGGATAGACGGAAAGCTGGGACATTACACATTATGTTCAATTCCAATACATTCGGCAGACAGGAAGGCCTAACTAGACATGAGCAGGCTTCAGGTATATGACCATCGTTGCTTTCTTAGCATACACTATGGTGTGTCGTGGAGTCACCAAGTGAGTAACGCAAAAGTCAGGTGTAGAATTTTGGGGAGAAGAGGTCAGTTGAGTCAGTTGATGTGATTATGAACCTTCATTGACTGAGATGGCTGACTGGGACGCTTGTTACGCATGCTACAATTTTAGTCGAAGTAGATTTAGGCTGGAAAATGCCTAGGAGGTGACTAGATTAAACCATAGCATCACTGCATGAAGTCGTTGACTGTTGGTTTGAGCCATGTAGAGCGATGCACATTAACGAGTTGGGGTCTGTGAGACACGAGAAACTAGTTATTGAAGACTCTAGGTGATATGGCTCTTACCACTCTCGACTTCTGTTGACCGATTTTTCTCTCCTTCTTCATCTTTCACTTAACATTTCAAGTCTTTATTCATCGTAGACTGACATCAGTTAGAGGAACAAAGAAAACCTGGAAGCACTGGACAGCTGTCTCGTCCGACTAGTATAGGACTCCTCAGCAGTGCGCACCCACGACCCTGTACCACCAGGGATCGAACATGCGACCTTCAGGTTCCGTGGCCAGCACGTTACCATTGAGCTAGCCACTGGGTCAGAATCCAATGATCCATATTTCCAACTTCTGTTAGCTCACTGTATAGCGCAACCGCCACCCAATGTTATCGTTAAGTAACTGTCCTCATGACCATCAGGCTTTGCCCCACCAGTCACGACTTCTCACTGGAACTTCGGAAATACCTATCAAAGCTAGTCACCGATGAGCACCAGTTCAATTGAATCTTTGAGGGAGTTGTGGGGATTTGGAAATATTTCATGTTGTTATTCATCGTAACGTCCTGGCCATAGAACCCGAAGGTCGCAGATTCTATCCCTGGTGGTGCGGGTCGTAGGTGCGCGCTGCCGAGGAGTCCCATACTAGGCGGACGAAACAGCTGTCCAGTGCTGTCAGGTTTCCTTTGTTCCTCCATTTGATGTCAGTCAGTCTACGATGAAAATAACAACTTGAAATATTTCCAAATCCCCACAACTCCCTCAAAATTCCATTTTGTAGCCTTGTTACTTGATGTGGTGACATGAGATTTGTCAACGTAGACCGTCACTCAGATAGTAATGTGTGGTCCAATATTGATTTTGGTGATGATGATGATGAGGGCCTAGCTATCCAATCAACTTGCTTTGTATATCCGAAGTAACACTTGACATACAATAGTTATAGGTAAAGTGCATACACACACACAAACTAAGTTCTTCCCGTAGACGTGCATTGTTGCATTAGCTTCACACATCCACACGTCACCAGACTTAACCCTCTGTATATCAAGTTGTTGCGTGTCCAGCTGACAGTTATCTTCCAACATAGAAGCTTGTCGGTACGTGATGAATACCCTCTTGAGGCCAGTTGGCGCAAGCGAACCACCCCCAAACTAAAATATTCTCGCCTGCTTTGAGATGGGATATTCCGAATTCCTAATAAGAATTTGTGTTACCGGTGAGGTAAACCAAGTCAGAAGAGTGGACAGATACTCAATGATGGTGTTGCTTGGTGATTGCGCTCAATTTATCACCAGTCGAAACAAATAGGAGGATACGGACCATTGAATTGTGACCAGTGGCTGAATGGTCAACGTGTTCGCCGCAAGACTTCACGGTCCGACTTCGGTGTCTAGCGAGTTGGAGGAAGCAGCCGACTCCTATATTAGGACGAAACAGAAATCAAGTGTTCTCAGTTTTCCAATGCTTCTACAACTGTTTTCTGGTCGTGATGAATGCTAACTTGAAATCAGTCAGTAATTCACTCAACCAATCTTCATAAATCCGCAAGTAGAGGAGGAGAATTATTTGCAGCGCACCCACTTGGCAATAAAACACTTAGATTTTGAGAGAGTGGGGAAGTGATAGAAGGATTAATCAGTAAACAATCTGACAGGACATCACTATGATGTTTGTTTCACTGAGTACGCTTCCATGCATAGTCGACTGCTGAATTATAACTGTATGACATTTAAGATCCACAATTTAGCCACCGCTAGTCAAACAAGTTCTTTTAACATCTTCACTGAATAATCTTCAATATCATACTGTTAAATTTAGGTCTTTCTCAAGGAGTTTCAATCAAATCGCTCAGAGAATCATCATATTCACCCTTTAAACTTTATAACTTAACAATATCTTCAGAAATGATTAAGGGACACAGAGTCAACTTGACAGTTTATTGAAGGTATCCTAATCGTGAAATGATTATCGGAAATAAAAGTAGATTTTAGGCTAGTAATGTGTTGGACTGAAGATTACAGTATTCTCCTCACTCCACGTGATCATCATTTTATACTTTAGTCCATCGTATTTAACTACTTAAATAACAATTAAGTAGTGTTAAATTCTGA